TTATCTCTTTGTTTCTTTTGATCACTTTCAAAATATAAATTTGAAATTTTTAATTTAAAATTTAAAAATTTTAATTATTTAAAATACTTTTTAATAATACAAAAAAGGATTATATAATGAATCTTAATAATTTATGGTGCTTTTTTCTCTTTAATGTGTCACACCCATGCAAATTAGTTTGGGCCAAACATGATTTCCTCTGGTCTTAGATTGTTGAGCCAGGTTGCGGAAGGTGTCCAGGACCTTGCGCGAATCCTTGGGAAGACAAGGCATCCTGAAAGATGACAGATCACACGTGGGCTCCATGCTGTACTAGGGGTAATGTTTAACATGTACCCACACATGATCCCTTTATTACTAAAGTATGTTTAAATGTGATCCTACCCTCGACCGCCCCTTCGATGAGCATGTCTTTGATCATATCTTATAGTTACTTGAAAATGAAAGTTAGCCAATTCTTCATAATTCTAGCACTTATATCGCATGTTGTTGCATCCCTCACATGGCTGGGTCCTTCATGCCTTTGTATTTGCATTATAATTCCAAACTAACGGTTTCTTACAATTCGATGATAAACTATATAATACAAAAATATGTACTTTTTTTTTCAAAGAAATTGTGATGATGAATCAAGAAAAGTAGCTAAAGAGTTCTTCATGTTTACGTTAATTTAAAGTCTATAATAAATGGTCCTATATGTTCTTCACTCCTCTTTCTAAATTTTTTTAATGTGAATTAAATTTAAATATCTTAATTTATGTTTTTAAGATATAAGATAAAAAAATTCATATTTAAATAGATGCATTTTATTGATAAGAAAAAATTCTAGCAAAACTAATATCACTACAACAAATATCCATTTCGATTAGCAACAGCTTAATTAGGTTACTTATGAAACAGAGTTTATTAGACTTGTCCTTTAACACCATCACCATCCATCAGACAAAACACAAGTTGTGATTATCCATTTTGCGAAGGACAACTTTGTTATTCCCCGGCTTACACCTAAACCACGATCTAATCTGCACTTGGTCAAAAGATTTTCAAAAGATCATCATCTTTCTGTTCAAATATTTTTTTTATTGCACCAATTCCAGATGCATCAAACCATGAAGAACGAAATTGACTATCTCCAAGCATCCTTGATTCTTCTGCTAGGGGAGACTGAAGAGGCCATGATGTTGCAGAGAACTTCTAACGCATGTGTCGTGCACGCCTGCACGCCAATTTCAGATGCTGTTTTTTTCCCCCACTGATGTTTCTGCTACCTTGCACCTTGAGAAAAGATGATCCACAGAGGGCGCAGTTCAGAGATGGTGCCTCTCTTTCTCAGGTTGCACTTTGATTGAAATTCTGTCCTTCGAAACCTTCCAAGCAGAAGCAGCCACTTTAAAGGAGTTAGCTTGTTCCATTTCAGATTGACATGGATGCTGAAGGAAAAAACACATTCTGTCAGAGCCATATGTTATGTACTGATGTAGCAGTGAAAACTCCTTCGCTGTCTTGTGTCCAGCACCAATCTTCCTCCTTTTCTTCATAGTATAGCTTGACTTGATTAAGCAATATGGAAAAATTGTCTTGCAGAAACACATACAATAATAATAATTAATAATAATAATAATAAGTAAGCCCAATTTAAGACAGTAATCGCACAAAACACAATAAATTCGGTCTCAACTCTCAAGCCATCGTATCATAATATTTCACCCAGGCATTTCAACAAACATCTGGAGGGTGTTAAATATATGACTGGAAATTTTCACCCTTCATAAAATGATTTAGCTTGTTAATGTCAACAAAAAGATTTAAGGAAAAAAACCCAATTTCTCCAGAAAATGATTTCCAACTAATTTGATATCAAAATCAGTCTACTTCCTTTTTACAACCTAATCACTAAATATTACAATTCACGGGACATTGTTCATGTTTAAACTAGGTGACGAAGATGAGTAAGCAAGCGAAGATCCTTGAGAAGCCCCGTCGAGTAGCAGCAACTGTGCCGGAGTCACTGACGACGTTGTCGTCCATTCTAATGACTTCTTAGCAGCGATACCGGGCTTGTGGGCTGCGGTGGCGTCACCGTCCTGTCGAATCTCCCTCAATAACACCGCCACGTCTTTCATCGTTGGCCGATCATAGGCGCGGTTGCTAGTGCAGAGCAAGGCGATTCCGAGCGCTTGAAGCATCTCTTGTATTTGGGTGTCTGGATGGCCTTGGAGTTTGGGATCCAGGATTTCTACTGGGTCCCTCTTGCTATGAAGATGGTCCCGTACCCACTGAATTACATGTTGGCCCTCCGGGAACGATGGGTCCACTGGCCTTTTTCCGGTGATAATCTCCAGTAACACTACTCCATAGCTGAACACGTCGGATTTTTCTGTAATTTTCAGCATGCATGCATACTCTGCAAAAAAGATACAAAATTTAATCAAAAAAAAAAAAAATCACCCAGAAAGCAATTGGGCCAAATTTAAGGGATTAATGACCCACCGGGTGCGATGTAGCCGTAGGATCCGGCGAATTGGGGGTTCGCGGAAAACGAACCGGCGACACCGTTATCGTTCTCCACCAACCTTGCAAGTCCGAAGTCTGCCAAGCAGGCTTCGTACCGGTCCCCTAAGAGTATGTTCTGCGCCTTGACGTCTCGGTGCAAGATCGCCGGAACGCAATCGTGATGTAGATAAGAAAGCCCCTCGGCGACGCCCAGGGCGATCTTGAACCGGGTATCCCACTCCACCAACCCTGGGCAGCCCTCGTGGAGAAAGGTGGCTAACGTGCCGTTCGTCATGTAATCGTAGAATAAGAGTTTCGTTTTCCGGTTGGCACCCCAGCCTAATAATCGGACGATATTCCGGTGCCGGATTCTCGCGAGGGTGTTGATTTCAGACGAATATGCCCCCGCTGATACTTTCTCCGATGAACGGAATCTTTTCACCGCGATGGTTAGTCCGGACAGGATAGAGACTTTGTAGACGACACCGGATCGGCCGCGCCCGATGATGTTGCCGGTTGTCAGGGACTGCACCACCTCAGCAATTGACAGGTCGAGTTTCTGGTACAATGTCACTTCCCAAGGTGGGCCAACTTCCAAATCAGTGTCCAAGTCGACGTCGCCGTCGCAATCGTGTGACCCGTGGCCTCGCTTTTTGGAGCTGATGATGATGTAGAGAGCTGCCACGAGGAGAGCACACGCGGCGCAGAGTAGGACCACCATCGCCACACGTGCTCTTTTCGCGCGTCTCGAGGCACCGCTACTTTTGCCGCCGTCTTCAGCCGCGCATTGGTTACCGGAGAAGCACAGAGAGGGATTCCCCGAGAGGACGCTGAGTGGAAGCTTCGCGAAGAACGGCGTTTCTGGCACCCGACCCGAGAAGTTGTTATGCGAGACGTTCAGAACGACAAGATTTTGCAGCCCCGCCAGATTCTGGAGATTTCCGGTCAGTTGATTGTGGGATATATCTAAACTCCCAAGCTTGCTTAAGGCCGTGAACTCCTCTGGGATCTCCCCGGAAAGCTGGTTCCAGCTCAAATTGAGAGCAATTTCAAGGGAAGGAATTTTCCCTACACTTGCCGGAATATTCCCCGAAAGCTGGTTTCCACTCAAGTCAAGTAGCTGCAGCTTTGCGCAGGACCCGAGTTGACTCGGGATTTGACCGGAGAACCTGTTGTTTCCGAGAACGAGTTTGGTCAACGAAGTCAACGAACCCAGGCTAGGACTCAGCTCCCCTTCAATCAAATTAGCAGAGAAGTCAACAAACTGAAGGGTCACAAGCTGACTCAAACTCTCCGGTAAGTTACCGCCAAGGGAATTCGAATGCAAATCAAGAAATGTCAGATTCCGGCAGCCTGAGATTTCTTCCGGAACTGCTCCGGTCAACCGGTTTGACCCGACATCCAAGAAATTCAACTTTTGCAAGTACCCAGTCTGCAGGGGAATCGACCCGGTTAACTTGTTGTTGCTGGCGCGAAAGCGAATCAAAGAAGAGCAGTTTCCGATTTCCGGTGGTATTTCGCCGGATAGATTGTTGGATAAAAGCAAGAGCTTGTTCAGATTTTTGAGGTCGAAGATTCCCTTTGGGATGGGTCCCGTTAGGCCGTTCTGAGACAAGTCGACAGCTTCGAGATTCCGGCAATTAGAAATCGACGGCGGTATGCTACCTTCCAGCTTGTTCTGCCATAGGTACAGCATCGAGAGATTCGCCAAGTTGCCTAATTCGGAAGGAATTGCTCCCGTGATTTGGTTGTTATCCAGTTCGATGTGGGTCATGCTCAGGCAGTTCCCGAGTTGAGCTGGGATTTCGCCGGAGATTTGGTTGACGCTCAGTTGAAGCTCCTGAAGGAAAGTCAGATTGCCAAACGTCTGAGGAATGCTGCCGCTGAGCGAATTCATCGACACATCGACCACCATTAAATTCCTGCAGCTCCCCAACTCCACCGGAATCGTTCCGACCAGGTTGTTCTGCCACAGCAACAGGTTCTTCAAATTCCTCAGATTCCCAAGCTTGCTTGGAATCGATCCCGCCAGCGAGTTCTCATACAAGTATATATTCTCCAGCGCAGTGCAATCCCCAAGTTCAGCCGGAATTTGGCCGGAGAGATGCGTCGTGTAGATTGCTATTGTCTGGAGCTTCTTGAGGAGACCCAGGCTTGATGGTAGGAACCCGGAAACACTCGTTTCCGCCAACCCCAACATCACCAAATTGCTGCAGTTCCCGATTGATTCCGGTATCGGACCTTCAAGATCCTTGTTACCGCCGGCTCTAATCATTTCCATATTCTTCAATCTCCCAATACTGCTCGGAAATCTTCCGGAGAGCTGATTATCGTACAGAGTTAACCATTTCAAGCTCGTGAGATTCCCAATTTGGACCGGTATTGACCCCTTGAGCTGATTCGAATTGAGATGAAGCTGTTGAAGGTTGCTCAAGCTACAGAGCTCCACCGGGATCTCACCGGTCAATGCATTCTCACTCAAGTCCAAGTAGCTCAACTGTGTAAGTCCGGCTATCTTAACCGGAATTTCCCCGGTGAGGTTGGTACCGGCTAGAACCAACTTGTTCATTGTATTCAAGGAGCTGAAATTGGAAATAACCATTCCGAACAAATCAACATACCTCAACTCCAACTCGGAAACTTGATTGTTGTAATCACAAGACACCCCGTACCAACCGCAGGGAGTTTTATCCGTCTCATCCCAATTGTTCAACCCCTCCGGTGACCCTTTCAAGCTTTTCTTCCATAAAAGCAGAGCTTCACCCTGCTGGTTTACGGCGGAAACTGCACAAGGGAAAAGAATCAAAAGGGCTAAAGAGAAGGGAAGCCATGGATTTACAGGCATTACAACTTGTAATTGTAATGGTAATGGTTATTAAACTACAGACTCCAATGATGAGGAGAAAAACAAGATGGGTTTGAACCTAGGGAGGAGGAACAGAAGGAGAAGCCAAATCATGTCTTGTGGGTTAAATTAATGTTGCAAGACCCAGAATCCCCGGATCCGAGAAACAGCGAGGCCATGATGTTTGTGTGGAATTTTAGGCTGGGGTGTGTCTTTTGTATTTGTTTAATATGAAACCAAGCAGACAGAAAAATGGGGAGGGGGTAGGGGTCTCCATCTCTGAAAAAACTAATCCATCATTTTTTCTCCTTTTATTATTATTCAAAATTTCCTTCCATTTTCTCCTTGCATTATTCATCGTTAAAAAAAGTTTTCTACAGTCTAATATTTTACCAGCATGGGACTGATTTCATCATTTTATCCCAAACAAGTAGTACTAAGCTTTTTGCAGCTTTTAATGGGGGGCCTTTGTTTAAAATGTTATGGTACATTGCATCTTTGCTTGTGAAATGTAATGTGGTGTAACAAACTAAGTTGATTTAGCGATGCGAGTAAATAGTGAGATTACCATGAAATCTTTCGCCTCAAGTTTTTGTATTTGAGCCACTAATCTCTTTAAGAAATTCTCATTTATAGTTTGGATTATATTAAATTGTAAAATAAAAATTATTGAATAAAAAGAAATTGTCTCACTCTCATATAATGATTAATATAGTATCATTTTCAAACTATATTACACATTTTTTATCTCTTTCTATAGATTTTTTATGTACCTACCAATCTTATCTTTTTTAGGTAGGGTACAAATATAAGTACACGTGGTATTTTTTTTTACCTTAAATTGTATAATAAAAAGTTATATGATTTGAACCTGACTTACGAGTCAAGTGGCGTTAACCACACTTGAAGGTTCATTTTCTCTTCTTCAAAAGGCAACAGTTCTACCGGTTCCATGGTAAAAATGTTTTAAAAAAAAAATTATATGGTTTGAGCTCATAATTATTGATTTTTATAAAAAAGTATTGCTAAATTACTTAAATAATTAAAATAAATATACATAATGCAGATTTTAATAATTAAATGGGAAAAGGTTGCCATTTGCTGGGCTAATTTTGAGTTGTCTTAAATAACTAATAATAAAAATAAATGTTGATATGTAGCCATCATGGGCAAAGACTTGACATTCAGAATCAGATCTGTAGCAGAATTTTTGAGAAAAGAAATGGGCATGGATCCAAAGGCATCTAAGCTCTCCTGCTAAGATCTATGACATAATCTATTTGTTCCAAAACTCTTTTATAAATTAATTATGACCAAATTCAATGTAAATTCAAGATCTAATCCAGAATTTTGAGTATAAATTAAAGCTGAGATACCCAGAAAATCAGATACCCTTTTTAATTTCTTTTAAAAGTTAAGACATGGAAGTCCAGTTTAATTGCAAAAAATGGAGACCCATCACGTGATGTAGTGTGATTACTACAACAGACGATGCTGAGGCTGAGGCTGAGCTAAGAATGATATGATTTGGTCCCGAGGGTTTTGCTGATATTGCCTCCCTCGTGACTTGCTATTATTTTACTCAAAATCATGTCTATTAGGAATCTAGGCACATGAGAGTGAGAGAGCCAGTTTCGTAGTAAGCTTATATTTTAAATTAAACAAAACAAAAGGCATAGAAAGAAGAGACAACCACAGCCCATCAACCATAATCACTTCACTTCCAAAGAAATTAAACCACCGATTTTTCTACCAATTGTACAGGTTGTGTTTTTGAGGGATTAATATTGGAGTTCCAAGTTTTTTTAATTGATCAGCAGATTTTGGAGTTCAACTACCTTCATCTGTTTTTCTTTGGGTACAAATGTATATATATAGGAGTGACTAATTGAAGTGCTAAACAGTCATTTGACATTACTTCTGCAGTATCATAATATAACAATTCCAACCAGAACCTACCTGGAATGATCCTTAATTTTGGGGCAATTAATCAAAAAAGAAAGAACTAACCATCCACACAAAATATATATTTGCTTCTTTCGTTCCAATCTATAGAAGAATTAAAGTTTCTTTAAAATGATTAGATTATTGAGTTGTTAACTTATTCATACATCTAATGATGGGTAGACACTGTCGAAATCTCATGCTGGTATTGGAATCTTCATCCGACAAGTAGTTGAAAATGGTAGTAAAAAACAGATGAATCAATCAATGTCGATGAAATGAGACCACATCTCTACAAGTGGTTGGGTTTTGTTTTAGAGAGATGTGAAAGTCGATTTTGAAGAATGTATTATGTTTAGTGATCACATCAAGAGAGAGGCATTGCATGTGTCTCAAACGTCCCCACATTTGATGTGTTTGCTTGGGATGTATATACCTTTTCTCTTTGTGTTATGGTCAAGTTCCCATCTCTAAAAAGCTTATACTTAATTATTTTCACTTGTTTTGGTTCTAATTAACCTTGCACTTCAATCCCAATCCGCTCAATCATTAATTAATACTCACCAATACTCCAAGATTTTCTTAATTTCATGCTCGCATAATTATAACAAGTTAATACATATAGGTATAAATTCATTTATGCATAAATTTTATACACCATATTTATATAAAATTTTAATTATTCATCTTTTTCACTTTTAATTGTTGAGATTTATTTATATTTGTTAAATATAACCTTTTTACTTAAAAAGTCACGATAAATTTCAGTTATTAAAACTATGTATACATATATAAGTAGGGATTCACTTATATACAAGTCTTTTTTTTTTTTTTTTTTTGTATGGACTATCTAGTATCCGAAAGTTTACTTGGCCATCGACTAATCTGGATTCAAGCCGGATAGGTCCTAATGGGCGGCAAAACTCTCCTTCACAAGTTTTAACAGAGTTACATTCTCAGGACTTAAAAACTTATATACAAGTCTTATATATTATACATATATAAAATTTTGATCATTCATCTTTCTATGATTGAGATTTATTCACTTTATATCATATTTATTATTTTTTATCTCAAAAATTGTGATAAATAAATATAAACAATAGTGCTTATCCACTTATCTTT